GGGCACACGGGGAAAGCACCTGCTGCCCCTTCCTGACTCCTGTCTGACTCAGCACACTCACTTGCCTCCTTGGGATTCTTATTTTCCAAGCAGCTTCATCACCAAATATTATCACTCCTACCTATGTTAGAATTTTCTTTCTTTTTGGTATTGAACTCACAACCTCAAGCTTGCCAGGCAAGCACTTAAACCACTGAGCTAAATCCCCCGCCATTCATACCTATTTTAAAAACCTGGTTGATTGCCTGGATTCTCTAATCTATTCTCCATAGTCAGTGCTCTTTTAAAAAAAAAATCTGATCTTTTCTTTCTGACAGATCTGCAAACCTTTAGTAGTTTCGCACAGTCCCTTGGATAAATCCAAACTCAGCTCAGTCTGCAAGGCCCTCTGATGGGACACGACCTACTTCTGCTGCCTTGTCTCCCCTCACTGCCTCTTTTTTTCCTTCCTTCATGTTGCTTTCCCTCCCTTCTGGGCCTTTAAGTTCTTTCCTCTGCATGGGACCCCTTTCTCTCTCCTTCCATCAGACTCTTCTGACCAGCTCTGTAAGGGGCCATCTACTATTTGGTCCAGGTTTCCCTTTAACTTTTCATAAAACATTCATCACACTTCAGTGAAATTGTTCTTCTGAGGTCTACATTCCCAGTTCCATGAGGAAAGGGTCTATGTCTACTGTTTTTTAATGTTGTGTCCCAGCATTAGGGCACAGTAGATCATGAAGGATTATCTACAGAAAGAACGGATGCATGGTGACTGGCAGGGCCATTTGGAGGGACAAAATAGGGAACCTAGTATCAAATTCCTCAAAATTTTGTATCATTCTTTCACTACTGATTGTACTGAGATATAAATCACATACTATCCAATTTACCTATTAAAAGTAAAAATTCCTTGATTTTAGTATATCTACAGAGCTATGCAATCACCATCACAATCAATTTTAGAACATTTTAATCACATTGCTCATTAGCCCTCCTCATCCCCATGTTCTTGTTCTTGTTTTTGTTTTGGTACTGGGGATGGAACCCACGACCTCACATTTGCCAGCAGGCACTTGTGCTACTGAGCTAGATCCCCAACCCCTCATGTTACTGTTAAAGATAAAAAGCCTAACACGTAGAGTGTTTTATAGTTAACAAAAATTTCATGTGGACTTGATAAATCTTGAAGAGTTCTGTGAGGTGGGCGTTTTGAAGCAAACTTCACTAGGATTAGACTTCAAGTGTCCAGAGTGGGACCTTTAGCTAATAAAAAGTTTAACCTGGAGGGAAGGGGCAGGTTGGTAAATGTCATGGTTTAGGTCAGTTGCCCCCAAGCCTCATGCCTTTGCATTATGCATTTGTGATTGATTCATTGTCTAGTGCTTGGATTGGGAGTATGTCTCGCTCTCTCGCCAGTTTCTGCTTTGCTGTTTGCAGCTGTCACGAACTGCGGCCCTGCCATGCCACCCTGCCTTGGAGCCAACTGAGTGTGGACTGAAACCTCCAAAAACTTTAAGAAATAAACTTTTCTTTTCCCAGCTTTGGGCATCAGGTATTTTGTCTCAGCGACGAGTAAACAGTAACTAAGACAGTAAAGGTGGCCACTGTGCATGGAATGTCACTTCTATAATGGCACGGTCCTGGGTTCTGTGTACAAGTTGCTCAGTCTAGACCTGCTAGCCTGCTGTTCTAATCTGCATCATGCTGAGTGTGGAAAAGTCAATTGGCTGGAGGATGCAGAAGGTGGAGAGACAGCGCTTTACAGCAGTCGGTTTTTGAAATAATAATGATGATAATGACACGTGATCTGATTTTGCTACTTACTGCAATTCACTAACTATGGGCAGATTAACCTACTCGTTTGTTTATTCAAAAATAGTGTCTATAACATCTTTCTTGTGTTAATTAAATGAGTACCTGCAAAACAACTGGTACCAGAGGCTGGAGCTCAATAAACAGTAACATATTTCCTCAATAATAATGAACAGATGTACAGCAGTAACACTACATAATTATTGAGAACAGTGACTTGCTGTCATCCAGCAAGATCATAGTGAAACAGGTCCACTCCGACGCCACAGGGTCAAGAGGGCACAAAGAGCTTTCTAAAAGGGGAAGGTCAGTGTGGTGCAAGAGCACAAAAGCAGCTTCCCTTGGCTTAGATATCTGTTCTGGGAACTCAGTGTTTGGTAAATACTGAGATAATCTACAACAAGCTCCTCCCCCAAAGCAGCCAGGACCAAGGGTGCCTTCCAGCATGCCTGCCCCATTACCACACTGGAAGCTCCATACTGTAAATAAACGGCTTGGGCTGTAGGGTGATTCAGCCAGATGGGAGTTTAGGCAGCTTTAAAAACATTTGACAATGGTATGGGTGTGGAGAGACCCATATTCACCATGGAGGAGCAGGAGCAGATTAACAAACAAAACAGCAGGATACCTGTGGACGGGCAGTGGCTGCCCTTTAGATCTGTTCAAGACCCTGGATTGCATCTGAAGTACATAGGAAGCCCCTGGAAACCATCCATCCATCCATCCACCCATCCACCCATCCATCCATCCATCCATCCATCCACCCACCCATCCATCCATCCATCCACCCATCCATCTATCCATTCAGGAGTACCCAGGGCTCTGAGCATCCTATCAAATTCTATAGTTTCATTGGAAAACTCTGAACAGAGAGTGACAGTACCAGAAAATCGTGGACCTAAAAAGCTCAGTCTTCATAACAATTTGGAAAAGTTTTTCTTAAAAGACAAACACAGACAAAGCATGATGGAAAACATTGATTTAGGAGATTGAACAGTGAGCAGCGGTTTTTCACCCCCTTTTCCAAAAATTCCCTAATCCTGCTGACACATCAGTCCCCTACATGAAATAAAGAGTGAAAACTGATGGTCCCAAAAGAGTAGCTTTGTTCTCCCACAGATGTTGGGGACACGATGCACGGAGGGGAAAGCTTGTGGGGAGGCTGTGAAATTTGTGAGGTGATGGAGTGCAGATGGGGGAGGAGGGGAGTATATTATCGACCTCCATCTGAGGCCCCTAACTATCAAAGATAGCTTCCTGTTGATGTCTCAGATGTTATAACTTCATTTATCACTGTTCTGATCTCCCCTTGCATCCTACCCCAGGGGCTGGAGTCTGTCAGCTCAAAGCAACGGAGCCCTGGACCCAAACTTTAGCAAGGAGCCCAGCACGGATCCTCTTTGAGCAGAAGCAAGCCAGGTGCCTTTGCAAGTAAACTGCCTTCTCCTCTTTGGCCAGAGTTAGCACATAGCCAGGGTCCGTGAACTTTAATCCACTCACTTACTGGTCCACACCACACATCTGTGTTAAATGCCTATCAGCTACGGACAGTGTGGTGGTGATAGGGATGCAGAGTGATAGGGATGCAGAAAATACACAGATCCTCAATGACACTCATGCTGCTGTTTAAAGCAGGTAGTAGATGATACAAAGTCATGGCATTTTAGAGTACAACAGACACCGGAAACGGCTGAATCAAAACTTTACAGAGGCTGTGTGTATGGTTCCATGATGGCACATTTGCTTAGCATGTGCAAGGTCCTGGGTTCCATTCCATCCAAGCATCAACAAATAAATAGACAAAATTCCTTCTAATAATGCGCAAGGAAAACACAGTCAGGGAGGACAAATGCCTCAGAAATTCAGGAAACAGAAGACTTTCTGCCTAACAGTGATGATTCCTACTGGCTTCTGACAAAGATGGTGGCTGTCCCTTAACCTAGTGAATAAAGTTGCCACCACTTCTGACACGGGGCGGGGGGCAGTCCCAGTCAAGTGAGGCACTGTAAAATCCCTGGAGGAGCTGACCTTGAGCAATGACATCACAGTGTGAGCCCTGAGAAGTGTCACAGCGGGTTCTGGTCCCACAGTGGCCACGAGAAGAGGAAAACTGTGTGCCTGTGACACAGTCTGGGAGCCCACTGGGTCCCACTGGGTCATGGGCTTAGCAAGTCGAGAATCCTGACTTTGTTTCCACAGGTTAATTGGAGCTCGAGATAGAGCTCATAGCTGGGTCTGGCGTGGAATAAATCACCCTGCATGTTTCTAAGTTTCCATGGGTGAAAATCTCAACTTCCCAAAAGTGTTGGAGCTATAGGCAGCAACCTTGTGCTGGATAAGGACTCCAAATTCTTAACACGTGCCATGTAAAGGAGAGGAAACTGCAGGAGAGACAGGGTTCCAGGTCTGCGACAATGACGGAGTGAAAACCCTGAGAAGCACTGGGCGCAAGGAGTGGCCATCCCATTTGCAGTTAAAGAGTAAAAACTCTGTGAGCTGCTGTTTGCTGTTTGCTTTGTTAAGTACTTTATCTACTTACTTATATTATTTCATCTTTGACAGCTTTATGAGATTTCTTAAAAATACAAATTTATTATTTACCCAATTTTATAGAGTAAAAACTCTTGGTCAAAGTAATTTTTTTCCAAGTCGCTCAGTTACTAAGTGGTGGAACTGGGATTCAAATCTGGTTAAATCTGACTCAGAAGTCATTGTTCTACACTGGCCAACATGGTCCCAGCCATGTTGGGGCTGCCCAACCCCATGCCATGACATCTTAGAGGCCCCCCAAATTCCACTTTCTTTGTTTTATACTTCGATTGTTTTATCTTCTTCCTATTTTTTTTCACTCTCGAGTGCAGATCTTTAAGTTTTAACTTGAGATTCCTAAAGAACCAACCCCCAACCTTCCTTCCCTTCCTGATATTATCACGCAAACTGAAGAAGCCATTTTTAGTTCATTCGAGGCTTAATGGTGAGGCCGGTCTTGAAAAATTACCTCCATCCGGCTCTACATGCCCCTGGCACTCAGCCTACAGCCACATCATGCACAGATACAGAGGTGTCTGGGCTACAGTTAGAGAGCTCTGCGGCCCTTCAGAGGGAAGTAGGTTCCTGTAGCAAGATGGGGCCGGAGCTGGTACTGGAACCAGGTCTCTCGACTCCTCCTCCTCCTGTGCACTTTCCGCTCTACAAATGTGCATTTGTTGTATTGAAACATGAGCACACACAGCGCGTGAGGGGCTGCCGACTGTCCCATCTATACCGACTTTTCCTCACCCCAGGGTGGGGGAGAGACAGACGGCAGTATCTGCCCTCCGCCTGCTCCACTCAGCTGAGCCGATCGCTATCTCTCTCCAGAGCTGCCTGCGCTGCACCGCGCTGTTGGAAATGATGAAACACTGGTGGCTGACTGCAATGACAAGAGGGGGTTCTGGGTAGAGCTGCAGACGGTGAAGTTGTTTCCATCAGGCTGGGCTCAGCCTTTGCCCCTAGCCCCAGAGGTAAGTACCGGCTAGGTAGGTGGGATTTTAAGCTCATTCATAGTGCGTGCATTTGTGGGTCTGGACGTGTAGGGGTTTCAGACAGGATTCTTCTTTTATGGCAGAATTTCAGGATGTGCAATTCAGTTTGCAGTCAGCTCAGAGAGAACCTGAGATTCAGCAGTCTGACTTTGTAGACATAAATCTTGTGTCCATGAGATCTGAGATCTGTCTGCATTAGCAACAACAGCCCTCAGGGATCCATCTAGAAGGTACATGGATTTTGCATTCTGAAAAAGCCGGTTTCAAATTCTCATTCTCCTAAACTTTATTGTGCCTCAGTTTCCTCATCTGTAAAATGGGTACAGGACCACCTACTCTACAGGGCTGCTGCAAGGATTCAGATATATACAGTTGGTGCCAGAACAGCCCTCCACCAGCAGTTGCTGTTACTTTTTAAGTCAGCCAGAAACCAGAGAAAATTTCCCCATAGGAAGGTTTTCCTTAAGATTTGTTCTGGATGCAAAAAATGGAAGGGAGAAGGCCCAGGAGTTTTAAATGTCATGCGTGAAACTCAGGAAATGTATCCTGTCCAAGAGGAAAGCTGTGCACACATCCAGGCAAGGAAACAACACCAGCCAACGGGAACAGTTGCCCCAGACATGGAGCTGACTGTGTGTTGTGCGCTGTTCCAGGAGCTTTGCGAAGATGGACTCATTTGATCCTCACACCTGAGGAACTTGGGGCTTTTGTTTACACTGGGGAAACTGAGGCTGCAAAGTGTTAAGTGACTTCACTGAGTCAGCAAGAGGAAACTTGACCTGCACAGAAGAGCATTCCGAAGCCAGCCCTTTCTCTCTGTCTCCCAGCTGGGGAGGGGCTCAGACGGTACAGCACTGGAAGCCTGGACCAAAGGCTTGCTTACTGGCTGATCCTGCTCCTGGTGCCCCGTGGGCTTGACGAAGTGAGCACTGGCGAGTCTACCGGGGACGAGTCCTTGAGCAGCACAAGTGGCCCAACTGGAGGGACCCAATGCAAAATGAAACTCTGGTCTCCCCTGTGCAAAAATTACAAAGAAAAACAGCAAAGCATTCAGGAGGCACAGCCCCTGTGAACACAGGGCCATGCCAGGCTGCAAACCCCTGCAGCCAGCCCCAGCCCTGAATCCTGGGCACAGAAGTGCTAGAACCTTCTGAGGTCTCATGTAACCTTCCTGACCACTGTGTGCAGAGGACATTCGACTTTCCAATCAAAAGACAGGCAAACTAAGGCTCAAGGTTGAGTGGCTGTCTCAAGGTCAAGCATTTCTTGGGTAGAAATCGATCGAACTGCAATTTGCCCAGTTAGAAAGAGCTTTGTTTTTTCTGTACAAAACATCCCCGAGACCTGTCAGGAAGTATGAGAGTATAAAATATGGACAAGACGTGCTACCAGCCACCGAAGAACTTATAAACCGAGCATGATCTGTAAAAGGCGCTGAGCTTCCCTGAAATGAGTTGGCTAATCTAGAAATGTAGTGGACCAGGCTATGAAATGGATAATATTTATTTTGCTCTCTCCCGCAAATCTCCAGACTCATGCGGAACTAGCACAATCAAATCCATGCACCTTGCTTACCTGCTTGCAATGTTTTGTGTTTTTGTTGATTTGGTCTTACAGCTAAGTCACATTTGGCACCAGGAATTTTTTTCAAAAATGCTTTTCTAAACTTACTGATGAGAAATACTGGGTGGCTTATTTTTTTTTTTTTCTTAAAATAAACTGGCACTGCCTGCATTAAGACGTAAGTGTGACTAGAGATGTGGTATGTCTCACTGAGACTCAAAGTTGCTCTTATGGGTTAATTTTAGTCTCATCCTTTATGTCTATTTTGAACCTGTGGAATTCTAGAACAATGAAATGTCAGAAAGAAATCTATTTAGCCCACTCACCCCCATTTTATAGATACGGAAACTGAGGCTCAGTGCCCAATGTGATTGATTTATAAAGCTGCTAAATTGGAAAGTTCATCTGGTTCTCATTTTGTGTTCCAGATGGCTCCTCACCACCTGGGGTAGTGACTAAAGCCAGAGAGGACCCAGAGAAGATTTCTCTAAATACTCAGGACAAAGGTGACCCCCTAACCTCCACTGTCCCCTTTCCCTTGGCTTCTGACAGGGCCCGGCCTCCTTTCCATCTCCTCTGTCTTCTGCAGGGTGCACACACTGACTGCGGCAGTGCGGGGTCTGGTCAGGACCCTGTAACTTTGTGTACTGCATCACTTACATGCCCCTCGGAAATCTCACAGGCTCTATGGGAGTGGGTGTGCTTCTGTGGTACCCCCGTAGCAGTGTGGTGCTCGACCCTCTGCTCAGGGCTGTGGCTCATCCCTTGCTGAACACCCATAGGTGCCAGGTGCCCTGCTGCCATCGTGCACACTCCATGTGGTATGGGAAGGCTCTGTCCAAGCCACCCGGGCTCAATTTAGTCCCCTCTTGGGGACTCATTTTGTTTCTAACATGGAGAACAGCAGTGTCCACCTCTGAAGGTTGTTTGGAGGCTTACAGAAGATAATTCAAGCAAAATGTTTTTCATAGTGCACATGCATTGTAAACACACACGCAGGCCTTTTACAAAAGAAGCAGTACCATCTTATTTGACAGACCTGAATGCTGAGGTTGGGGAGATAAACAACTTACAGCTAACAAGGCTAGAGTTGAAATCTCAAATCCTGATCTTTGGGTTCGGCTCCTGGCAGCTTTCCTGCACTTACTGTGCAATTGCTTTGTGGAGTCCTGGGTTTGCTCGCGTTATCTTATGTACATGAGATTAAGTCTGGTTGAACTTTGTCGCACACCAGTTCCTCTAAAACTGTGCTCTCTGCCCAGGGTGGCGGTGCCTGAGCTGGGTTGCTTGGTTCCCCTTACTTCACTGAAGTTCTTTGCTTGTGGCCTCTCCTCTGTTTCTGGCACTGCAAAAGTTTACATCTCAATCTTCCAAGAACAGCATGAGCTGTTGGAAGCACAGATGTTCCCTTCTTCATGTCACCTGAGTGTCGCCCACAACCACGCACGTGAGCTGCTCCATATGTACTGGACTGATGGAAATGCAGTCAGTCAGCAGACCACCTCGGTTCTGCCACCACGGGGAGAGATGGTGACAGGTTGAACCAGGGATCAGGCTAACGTGCAGCGGACAGCTCAGGCTGGATTAAAAGTCTTAAAACTTGTATTGAGTATAGTTAATAACAATATATTGTATTATTGAAAATTACTAAGAGAGTGAATTTTGTTTGTTTGTTGAGACAAGGTCTCACTGTGTAGTTCAGACTGGCCTTGAACTCATGGTGATCTCCTGCCTCATACTCCCGAGCACTGGGATGACAGGTGTGCACCACTGCACTTTGCAAGAGAGTAGATTTTGGAGGAGGATTTAGCTCAGTGGTGTAAGCTCCTGCCTGGCAAGCAGGAGGTCATGAGTTTGATCCTTGCTACAAAAAAAAAGTAAATTTTAAGTGTTTGCAGCATAAAAATTAAAGCATGCATCTATTCATTAGCCAGATGTAGCCATATAGCTATATATATATATATATATATATATATATATATATATATATAATGTATTATATATATATATATATATATATGGTCAATTAAAGTGATAATTCAGGGGCTGGAGGTTGTAGCTCAGTGGGAGTTGCTTGCCATGTTCAAGGCCCTGTGTTCAATTTCTAGCATAAAAAAAAGAAAGAAAACAAAACCCAAAATTCAATAAAGGAAAAAATTTAGTTAATAAGCAGTTTTTCTTAATAGGAAAAAATACATGCTAATTACTAAAAATCTTAAAAATCACAGCGTAGAGACTGAAATAACGCAATCTACAGCCCTAATAACCCACCTTGTTAACGTCAAGGCATATTTTTTTTTGCAATTTTCCCTCTATGAGAAAAGTACATTTAAATAACAACCCAAATTTATTCTCCACAAATGTATATCTGTGAAGAGGTCTGTATTTGGTAGACAAAATTGTTATTAAAGAATTCTTCTGGAGTTGGTGAACTGGTCAGGTGAATTGGGTAGTTTTTCTCTGAACTAATGTGACAGTAAAATAAGCTTAATGACACAGAGTTTTCTCTTTGCCAAGTTTTATTCTTTTTATGTTTACTTTTTACAGAGATATGCGCAAGATCATCTATTGCTAAATGTAATTTAAATATTTCATTTACTGCTGTAAATCCATTTTTTATGTTTTTGTTTTTCAGATTGTTTCCCATGTCTGAATTTTAGGTTGTTTATTTTTAATAATTGATACTGGATAGAACTCTTTTGCAATAATAATTTTGATCCTGTTCTGGCTGTGTATAAATTTTATTTTTTTCTCGGATTTTTCAGAAAGGGTCTCACTATATGGTTCAGTTTGGTCTTGAACTCATGGTGATCCTCCTGCCTCAGCTTTCCAAGCCCTGGGATTACAGGCATGTGCCACCACTTCTGGTCATTTATAAATTTTCTGTTCCACATCTTTTATTCAATTATCATTTAGAGGTTTCTTACAACATACAAGCAGTGATTGAAAATACAGTGACTAGTTAAATTTTATTAACTTCTTACAGAAAACACACATTGCCATTAATCCCCGTACCCCCTCAATGGCTCCCCTCACTTCAAACACACATATTCTAGCATTACTGCCACTTTCTGAAACAGTTCTGGAAGCCTTTTTTGTATCTTAACAAGACATAATAAAACATACAGTGAATAGTGCTGCCAAATGCCATCCAGCAGGGAGGCAGGCTTATAAAAACTGCAGTGTGTCCTCATCCCCCTTATTTCCTAGCGCTGACACCATAGGACTTGTGACTTCTTCAAAGTCAAAATGACCGTGAAAAATAAATTGTCTGAACTGATTTATGACATCAAGGCAGGGTAACAGCAAAACTAAAAACACGCATGAAAAAGGACTTCTAGAACTGCTTCCAGAAAGCAGCAAGAACAGTGAGACAAGTGTATTTACAGAGAGGGAGAGTATTTTGAGGGGGATAGTGGCAATTTTGTTTTAGTTAAACATACACCGTATTTTCTTTATCATGTCTCATATACAAAAAAGATGCAAACTGTAAAATACGGTTTGCCATATTTTGCAATATTTGTTCCAGGTTTGTAATCCATTTGCCTTTGTATTTTATTTATTTTAACATGTGAAGCCTTGATATTTTAGAGTCAAACTACTTTTTCATGTATTCCTTTGTGTATAAGCTAAGAGAGTTTTCTTTCATTTTGGAATTTAACAAATATCATTAAGTATATGAATGTCTGATTCCATCCTCCTCATTTTAATGGTTCAGTTTAAAAATATGTACCTTATAAATGCCCATGGGATTTCTTTTGTTATTTACTGTTGGGTCTAAATTGTTTTCCCCTTCCTTATGGGTAGCTAACCCATTGTTCTCTTTGCAACATTTTTTTTTTTTTTCTTTTTCTTTTTTGTCTTTTTGAGACAGGGTTTTGCTATGTAGTTCAGGCTGGCCTTGGGCTCACTCTATAACCCAGGCTGGTCTCAAACTTGCAACAATCCTTCTGCCTCAGCTTCCCTAGTGCTGGGATTATAGGAGTGTAATCCTGGCTAACGTTTTTAAAATAATGCTTTCTTTTCTTCTACCTACCTTGTGAACTACTTTCGTGATATATGTATTGTTCACACCGGCATATTTTGAAAGCCTATCATTCTTAAAAAGCTATAGTCAAAAATTTACCTCGTCACAATTCCTTCCCAAACAGCTTTTGTTTCTTAATTCTTACTGATTTTTTTCCCAGAAAAAAAAGCTTAGAATAATCTCAAGTTTTAAAAACACTCACTGTAATTTTGATTTTGATTGGAATTATACTGAATCAACAAATTAATTTTGAAGGTGATTTTAAAAGTATTGTAGCTTCACAATTTGAAATGCCATGTCTTCCTATTACCTGAAGTCTTTAAGGATTCTCAGTAAATGTTTATTATTTTCATCAGAATAATTCTCATAGAATTAAGACTATTTAGATTTTTTGTTGTGCTGGTTGCTAATCTCATGGTATTTTCTCCCATTCTATTTTCTGATCATTGCTAGTATAGCAGGAAATAGGGCTCAAATTTTAGAATATTTATCTCAGCCACAGGACTTATTTACCAGACACATTGATTCCACCAGTTTGCAATCGAATTTATTTTTGGAAATTCTAAGTATAAAATCATATCATTTTCAAGTGAGGCTTGATTTGAGTTCTTTTTGCCCCAAACTATATGTTCATTCTTCAACATATCACACAATACTCGAGCTCTGACACCAGCCTGCCGGAGTACAAAGCCCATCACCCCTTTTTGACTTCTAGAGTGTGGTGGGTAAATCTCTGTCTTTCTCTTGCCCTCTGTTAGTTGGACATAATGGTAGTACCGATCTCCCGGGATGTGAGCTTTGGATGGGTTAGTATAAAAGCGTCTGCCACGGAGCACATAAGTTAAGAAATATTCCGTACCTTTATTGTTATGATGAGAAATTGGGGGAGTCTCCGGCTTCCGGGAATTAGAATTCCTCAGACTCGTTTCTTCAAGGATTGTATCAGAAATTCTTGCTCTCAAATAACGACTGAAACAGTTTGCCATTTAGTAAGATACTTAAGGGTGTAAAACAGATGTTCTTTATTACGGTAAGAAACAGCTCTCATGCTTTATTTCACTAATTTAGTCAGAAACAAGTGCTTGACTTTATCAATGCTTTTTGGTACTTTACATACGGCTATGAATGTCATAATACTCAAGAGGCAGGGGCCTGGCGTGGCGCTTTTGGGTCAGATGGTCTTTGAAACAAGATTCTTCCCACCAGGGACCAGGGAACCTGTGCTGCGGCTCTAAGCCTTGATCCTTCAGCTATGAAAGGGAGTGTGTGTGTTCTTGTAGACAGGAGCAGAGCCATGCAGGAATACTCAGCGACGGCTTTCATTCTTGTAACGGCTGAATTTTTCCACACACCTGGGCTTCTTCCTTCATAAGATCATGCATTTACCTCTGTGTTTATAGATGAGCCTGGGGATTTTCCCTACTTTTTTTGTGCCAGTTAGTTTATGTTTTGTAAGAATTGTTTATCTCTTAAAACTGAAATGATTCATTTGTAAGGTCATTCAGGACAGATTTTGGGGCAGACAACTCTGACAGATTTTTAGTTTTAAAATAATATCTGTCATTTATTGAATGCTTATTACTATATTCTGAAAGTGATAAGAACTATTTTACATACTTTATCATCCTAGGCAGCAAGTCTTATCTATATATCGCTTATTTAATCCTGAATCTCGAAGTTGCCTGGGCTGGGCTCAGACTTGAGATCTTCCTGTCTCCTGCTGGGATCTCAAGCTTGTGCCCCAATGCCCAGTGCCTCCTATCTTAAGTATAAAAGACTGAGGCTTTGAGAAGTTAAATAGCCTCATGAAAGATTCCTTATCCAGCATCGTTCTCATTGCTTTGGTTTGGTTTTGTTTAAATTTTCTGTGCCTTTTGAAATAAATCTTTCTAACTTATATTCTCTAGGAAAATATTGCTTTTATGGAGATTTCATCAATCTTAGTAGTCTCACAATTTTTCCTCTTCTGTTTCTGTCATTAAATCCCCCAGGTTGCTATTCTGGCTTATTTACAATTCATCCTTCCTTGGAAACTACATATTAAATCAGGGAGAACAGTATTGTAACGTGGAGGGTAAAAGAGGCTGTATGATACTATGCAATGGGAATGAAGATTGTTTTCTTCTAAGCCTTCGTTTCCACCCAGTTTTATTTTCCTCTTGCTTTCCCCCACACCAACATTTAAAGAAGAAAATACTTAGGACTGGCAAGAGGCTTAGGAGCATCTTGTCGAGCTTCCTAATTCACCAAGGCCTGGGCAGGACTTCCGCCATTAGCACATGACAGCCCCAGGAGAGGTCAGGCCCCATCAGACGAAGGCCCCTTCCTGCTTGGAGGGGGACAAGGAATATGACAGAACCCATCCTCCTCCACAGGCGTGCCGCAGGCTGAGGAAATGCGCTTAGTACACAGAGCTGGCGTCTGCGGTGTCCAAGCAGGACAGTCCCCAGCTCTGTGACAGAATAAGGACAACAAACTCTCATGTGGGTGGGGACTTTTTCACAACACAATTGCTTCACATTGCTCACATTCCACTTGTTTGGTGTGTGTGTGTGTGTGTGTGTGTGTGTGTGTGTGTGTAAATGAGCAGATGTTCCTGTTGACTGCCTCCTCAGCAATCTGCAATTAGACCTCAAGACACAGCCTGCTCGTGGTGGTTAGGAGGCACCAGCCACTTCAATAACCGTATCTGTCGTAATTTTTCCATCTCATCCTGTTCTGGATCTTATCTCCAAACTACACTCAAAACAAATGTCTATGTTTCCTAAAATAGAAGAACTCTCCCACTTTTTTTGGCCGTGCAGAAATTGAGCTCAGGGTCTTGCACATGCCAGGCAAGAGTTTTGCCACTGCGTTACACCCTCAGTCTGTCCTTGCAAGCTAACTTTTAATAGCTCTACTCTGGTCACCATCACGGTGGAAGGTTTTTAGAGTTGAATCATCCTTAATAATTATCGAGCACTCCCCATGTGCCTGGCATTGTAAAAAGGTCTTTTCAAATAGCATAAATCACTGAACCAACACAAGAGCTCTGTGCAGTAAACATTACCAATCTCTCCACCTTACAGATACAGAAACTGAGACAGTGCAAAGTTCTGCAACTTACATCTAAAAGAGGACAGAACTGGAATCCGTATTGAGGGCTCTTTAACTGTACCACCATGTACCACTCTGATTTGACATAGCTGCTGGATGTCATTTGGCCAGTGAAATGCTAACTTCATACCAACATAGTGCAAGGAAGTTTAGGTAGTATAGTTTTAAAATAATGGGGCATTTATTCCACATAGCAACTTTCAAGAAAGAGGAGGTTTTCTACTTCAAGAGGGGCATTTAGAAACATGTGAAATCATTTATGGTCATCGTGGTTGTTGGCTGACCTGTTGCCTTGGTGGGTTTTCAAAATGCTCTATGTCCTTTGGGTATAAATCAGTGCTTGATAACAAAGTCTTGTCTAGTGCCATGCGTCAGGCAGTACTGAGAAACGCCAATAGTGAGCCATACAGATGCAGGCCTCCCTACTGCTGTTCTGAGACCGTGGAGTCAAGTGACTGTGAATAGAAAATCCTCAAATCACAAACAGTGCCTGTACAGACTATCTTGTCATCATTCCTTAAATCATATAGTGTAACAACTACCTCCTTTCCCCAAAACATAAGTCCTAGCTGGAAAATAATCAGCCTTGAAGACAAGATAAAAAATGCCAGCCCCAGCCAGCCTATCCTTGTCTTCCCATGGCAGAGTCTGCGATGATGAGCCCCGCAGGCTCTTCCCGATACTGCTCTCCTTTCTTTCTAGTTTATTTGATGCAAATTTTGACGTTAAGAAACTTCAGTTTGAGAACTACTAATAAAAATGGTTTCCAGGCCTCTCCCTGTTTCGCTTCACACTTGGAAGCCCTGTTTGGGAACAGAAGCGTAAGTAGCAGCAAAGAGTTTTTGAGGCTCACCATCCACAGCACGAAGAAGGTGGATGGGATGCGGCCCTGTCTCTGTCCGCTAAATACCATTTCAAAGCCTTCAGAGTGCTCTCGTCTTATGGAAAACACTACATTCAGCAACAGGTTGATGGACTCCTTACTCTGATTTTTTAAATAAATCTTTTGTAAGGCGGTAGGAATGTTCGATGTCCCAAAGCTCATGGAAGCTGTGTGGCACATTAGGGGGAGAGTGCAAGCATGTGTGATGCGCGTGCATGTGTGTGCAATTAAGACTTGAACCTCTCCAGAGAACCTGTGCCGGTTTTTGCTCAAGCAGGATCTCTGTGTCTGCAGTCGCCAGCGATGTTCTCCTTGGGCGAAAGGAGCGATTTAAGAGCGTGGGCTTTGGACTTAGTGCTCTGTGCTGTGTGGCCTCAGACATGACTCGTATCTCTGAGCCTTCTGTTACTCTCTCTAAAAGGAGGCAATTATACCTTGGTCAAAGAATTGTCATCCAAATCAGGGAAGATGGAGGGTGTGTGGGGCAGTGTCACCGAGGCTAACCCTGAGTGCCTCCTGGCTGTTAGGTCCTGACGTTTTACACAGTCAGAATCTGAAACTTGGGGGAGTCTCAAGCCTGACTCTTTATCTGTCACTTTTCCCTTCCAGGTGCCCAGGAGGATCTTGTTGGCTGCTCTATCTGTGATTTCTCCTAGGCCTCTGTCTGCTGCCCCTCAAAGAGGCTGAACCCCTCTACCACCAGTGGCGGCACAGTCGGAAGTTCAGCATGAGCTTGACAGAGTGAGGGGCCCAGGACTGTTCAGAGAGGAAGAGGGACCTGCCCTGATTCCCACAGCAATGCCAGACATTTGCCTTTGGCTGAGGCAGGGGTGGACCTGTGGTTTATTAACATCTCTGCCCCTCTGACTTGGACCCTTCTCCTCTCCCAACAGTGCAATGCAGCTCTGGCATGGCCTGGTGATCGCGGTGGTGTCCCTCATCCTCCAGGCCTGCCTCCTCACTGTGGCTGGTTATGTATTCAGCAGGCGCATAGGTAACAACCCGGCCCTTGCCTTCTGGTCCCCCTCAGCCACATCCCCCAGCCTGCAGCAGAGGACATTCTTTTGGACCTAGTGTCACTAGAAAACTAACCTGAGGACCCACTGACCAGATTAACCCCACTGCAGCACCCCATTGTAAAGGGGTCATCTCCATTCTAACCTCGTCTTTAGTGGATCTATTTATCTGCAGTGCTGGTATGGAGGGGCTCATTCTGTCTGGGCACAGTTTGTTTACTTTTTCATGCCAAAAGCCAAGAACAGTCTTAAGTTGCAATAGAAGGAAATTTTGGGAGATCTGTTGAGCTTCTTGGGCTGATTTATATATATAACAGCATGGAAGCTCTGTCCTGGGAAAGCATTTCAATTAGGAAAAGTGGTGCTGCTTTGGCTGTGCTAAGTCAGGGGGATCGGGCATGATGACATTTTGAGTAAACATCCCGTAAAACGAGTCTAGCTCTTGCTGTTCATTTGTTCATCCATCCATTCATTCATTTGACACATTTTTTGAGATCTCAGGCCAGCCAGATTCAGGCTCTATGACAGGAAACGAACAGGAAATTCCTGCCCTGTGGAACCTCTAGTCCATGAGACAAATAAGACAGCAAGTGACACACATGTATGTTAGGGTATGTGAGCACTAGGAAGGAAACACGAAGCCAAGCAAGCAGATAGGAGCCGGGAGGGCACCAGTGTCTCTGAGTTGCTGGCATCTGAGCAAGAACCTGTAGGAAATGAGGAGAGAACCGTGCTGCAAAGGCGGAAGCAGAAGTGAGCTGGGCCAAAACAGCAGGGGCAAAGAGGCTGGGGCCAGGAGCAGCAGGGGGAAGTCAGAGGGGAGGGACATGAGTCACATAGGGTGCTCAGAAGCTGGATGTGGCTTTTTCAACAAGTGAGGAAAGGAGATAGCACAAGGAGCACGGCAGAGCTGACATTTGAAACGATCCCTTAGAAGGTCGGGCGGATTGAGCTTCAGGAGGCATTTGACTGTGGAGGGGGTGCCTAACCCAGGTGGCTACGGATCACATGTGATCTTGCCCTCTCTATTCCAGGCCATCAGAATGAACGGGTGCTTCAAGTGGTCAGGATGAAGGCCCAAGAGTCTGGCCCTTCCCCCCAGCCCCCACTGGCTGCCAAGGAGACTGCAGAAGCTTGGACAGAAAGAAGCACCCCTCTGTGTGCTCCCCGTTACAGGCGTGAGTCAGAGACATTGACTTGTCCTGAAGTTTACAGCACCCTGTTGGGACAATAAGGAGCCTCTCTGCAGCAAACCCCAGTCCATCCCAGGGGAGCCAATCTCTAGTCAGTGGTGTCCTCGTACTTAGGGGAGTCCAGGCCTTGCCAGTCTGCCTTTCCTGGAAAGGTATCATCCTGTACATGGGGAAGCCCCCCGGGTTTCTGTAGGTCTGGGTTCATTCCTGGGACTGTTCATGGGTGAATGATTGTGAAGGGCTCACACACTGTCTCTGCTCCTTGCATGCTTCAGCACCTTCTGCTCCCCTAGCTAAGGGTGGAGCTAAGGTTTCAGCTAGCCTTGCCTGCCGCTACCTAGATTGCTGCTGGGAATCTATCATCTTTCTGACCAGTTCTGGCTGGTTCCAGAAACTAGCCCCTCCACACTTTCCATAGGGGCCCTCTTCATGATCTGAGACCTGCTAAGAGATCTGGGCATTTGGATAAACATGTGTCCAGGAGATGGTTCCATCTCTATTCCCTAGTGCAAGAAATACTGCCCTTCTGGTTTTGTGCAGTGATCTTAGGTCTTATTACACCCTCTGGCCCTGCACTGCAGGGGGCCAAACCCAGGATCTTGAGCACGTTAGGCATGTCCTCTACCACTAAGCTGTACCCTTAGCCTGTTTTTTTTTTTTTTTTTTTGTGCCCAGGATCGAACTCACAATCTAGCAGTAGGCAGGCAAGTGCTTATGCCACTGAGCTAAAACCTCAGCCCCTTTAGCCTTGTTTTTTTAATCAAAGTTTGGGAGATTCAAGGGGTCGGTATTGAAGCTAAGGCTTAGAGTAGGTGCTTCCCCGTCAGAGACTACACTTTTTCCACTGGTTTATCTCTTGACTAAATGATGTGAGTTTGCTCGATCCTTCTGATTTTATCTTTTCAGCTGCGATAAGGCCTCTGAGTCTGTGGGAACCTTCAAGTGCAGTGTACAGGCCCCCAGTATCTCTCAGCATGGAGAAGGCACTGGCCTCCTCCTGACCCCTGGCCATAGAGCTTTGCCTGAATTCAGTCACATCCAGAGACTGTTGAGCTAGCGAGGACCTCAAAGGCCGCTGCTCAACTCCCTTGCTTTACAGAGGACACAAAACAGGGCAGAAAGAGAGATGTGAGCTGCCTACAGCTAGTAACACTTTAGATTAGAACCTGCGTCTGGGATTTGCAAGACCAGAGCAGTTTGCACTGGGCCATACTGCCCCGGCTTATTCCTGCTGGTGGAGTCTTTCCTGGTACAGTAAAGCCTGTTGTGCTTTATTCACTTTAGACAGAGCTGGAGGAAGCAGCGGTGCTTAGACTGACGTATACGTTCCTGCCTGGTGCTAGACACTCTCTTGCCCACCACCCTTTCTCTGCTCTGCTTTCTTTTCTTCCTCTTTTGGCATGTCCAAATCTCTCCCCGCTGCTTTCTGAACTGCTGGTTCTGCCTCTGTCCTTTCATGTTCCTTTCTCCTGCCTCCACCTTCTCTTAGTGCCCCCTAGGTTGCTTTGAAAGAACAATGTCCATCTCTTTCCAGGTGAGAGCAACACATTAGACAGCTCAGACAGTTCAGACAGCTCGGACAGCTGCCAGGTAAGGACAATCCCAGGGAACTCAGCCTCCGTGTGCAGCCTGGGCTTCCTGCTGTAAAGGAGGGAACTGAACTCAAGCTGCTCCAGCTGTGTCAGAGGGAACAATAAAAGAGGCCTTACAGCATCCCCAGATGAGAGTGTTGTGCTTCCTCCCAGAGTCACATCAGCGTGTATAGCCTAAGCAAAATGGGTCTGAGCAGAGACACAAGTGAAAGTGCTAATGGGAAGCCCACTTTCCCGCCAGGCCCCAGTCAGTAGGCCCAAATCTGCACTGGATCCTGACCTCACTTGTTTGAGTTCACATCTTTCCTTCCCATCCACTGAACTGCTCACCCTAAAACCTGTTCCCTGCAAACAGGTGGGATATAGCCATTAGCATCCTCCTCGATGCTCTGGCTTTGCTTTCACACAAAGCCACCTGGATCCCCATGCTTCCCACCAAGCCTTGGGCAAGTCTTTCTGAGCCAGAGCTCAGTCCCAGGTCTTACCTCCTCCGAGTATGGTGCATATCTTGCCCCAACATGTCTCTGCTTTCTTCCTAGATCACCAAGGATGTGAATTATACACAAGTGGTCTTTTCAACCCCTGGAGGACTAAACAGGGAATCTTCCCTGGACTATGAGAACATAAAGGAAGCCACAGATTATGTCAATGTCAATCCAAAAAGCGACAAGCCTAATTTTTGGGCATTTTCAAACCCTGCTGTCTCTGAGCCAGTAGAATATACTCAAGTGGTTATATGAACTCTAGTGGTTATTTTTTTAAAACTAAGCTGCCTCTCTATTGATGGATTTATTTTGCATGGGAATTCTTTTAATTTAAAGAAATGGTATAGGGAAAAAAATAGGTCTTACTCCAGAAAGAAAGCTCAAGATCAGATGTTAGGAAGAACTTCCAAGTAAAATTTGGAAACGCTGGTACACATCAGTAGAGAATGTGATGAGGTCTTTTAAAAAGTTTTAACAAGCTGCATGAAGTCCTATTTGGTGATCTTAAGGTCTCATGACTTCTCTTTGTTTATTTGCAATAAGTAATTTTCTTAAAAATTTTAAGTAGAATTGCAATCACTGGTTCCTCTTTCCCTCTTGCCTAATTTTGCGTGTTGACCCTTTTATCAGTGATGTATTTTGCTGAGTAATTATGCTTTGCCTTTAGAATTTCAAATAATTCACTTACAAAGCCTATCATCAATCAGCCTTTGAGTTTGCCATTTTTTTTAACAAGCCCAAGATGACAAAGAAAATCATAGTCAATATCTGGTAGTATCACAGTTGGCATTCCAAGGTAAACTTTTCAGAATTTAATACAGTAAAATTCAATGTCCACTCCTGGGTTTTTAAAAAAGCAATTATAAATAAAAAAGTCCTTCTTGATTTGATTAAGAATTGTTTATTTCCAAATCAGCAGGTAACCTGATATTTAAGTGTGAGATCCTAGACAGAGTCCCACTGAGACAGGAATGAAGTAAGACTGTCCACAAGCCTGCTATTGCCTTACATTGGCTCACATTGTGCAAGTTTAGAAGTTCTGTCAGTGCGACATCTACAGCAAGCCAGGCACAGAGCTGCGCACTTATGGTTCCAGCTAGGCCGACTTAGGAGGATCACTTGAATCCAAGAGTTTGAGATCAGCCTGAGCAATCTAGTGAGACACTCATTTCAAAAACAAGTGGAAATAAAACATAACTAAATAATCGAGCTGTAATTCTTGGAAAGGAGGGTATATTGTTCATTGCAGATGTCCTAGCCCTAGAAAGGCACAGGGATGTCAAATGTTTTAAAGCTGACAATGTGTAGTAAGCAGTGATCAGCTATACATGTTTTCCGATAGCAAAGCAAGACACACACAAAAAAATGTTCATGATAGCTGAGCAACCACATCCCAAAAAGATGAAACCTCGGGAGGACCCCTAGGGAAACCCAAAGATCCCCGGTGTTTAGATCTTAGAGCTCCACGGCTGTGCCTCGCCTGCCACCTGTAAACAAGCTCTGTGACCCTGGGCTGTGAGCAGATGGCAGGTCTTCCCCGCCCCAGTCCTCTTCTCCAGGAGAATCTGTAGTGACAGTTTTGTTTGGATTTCAGGAGCTGGAAAGTTCTACCAGCCTATTTGTCTCCCTCACCTTCCAGCTATGATTGTTATTTCTCTCCTTGAAAGTTTCACTTAACAGAGAAGAGATCCCACCAATTAGAGAGGTAGAATGAGGAATAAACATCAATGCTAATAATGCTGTCCTTGCATCAAGAAATGAATTATACGTCATGTTGATCTCTTTTTAAAGGCTAAAAACAAAAAATCCAAGAGTGTGTTGAAAAGATTTAGACAAGTTCCACACGGGCCTCCCAGGAGAGTCTGTGTGGCAACATTGCCATCGCAGCTGCCCATGAGGAAGGGGACAGGTGGGGCAGGCATAGCCCAGTCCTGTGCAATGAGAGGAGAGTGGATTCATGAGAATACTGGTCCTCAGAGACAGTCGGGGTGGAGTTAAGACGTCGGTGACCTAGTTGAGGGGGACAGGAAAAACACTGGAGAGCACGTATAAAACAGCAGGTAACAGGGTGAGATTAATGCCAGGAAATGACACCAAAGCCTGTCAGGGTCAGATCTGGGGAAATGATTAGATGGACTCAAGCAGAAAACATTCCAGAAAGAGGTTATTTCTGACTTTGGTTTAGCAAGGACAGTGGAAATTCAGTTGACAGCAAGAGGAGAAGGAATGTGGACAGGCCTGCCCCGAGCAGGTGCTCAGCAAGGCTTGAGGGACTGGAGCGCTGGAATGATGTCCAGAAAAGTCTTCCTGGGCTCAGGGCGTGCCTGGACGCTTGGAGCGGGGAGCGGGTGTCAGGGAGACCGAGGTTGCAGAATACACGGACCATCTGATGAAGGTCCCTAATGGGCCCTGCTTGAAAGCAGAGCATTTATAGCAGATCCACTGCAGAGGACCTAATTCTTTAATTTTAGCAGCTGACCTAATTGCTTTTCAGGTGCAGGCTCTCTTGGAGAGTGCTGTTAAAGACTGTGTTGAAGATGTACTTGATCAAATGACGTGCAGAATTTTGAGGCTCCGTGGTACATAGATGACTCCTCAGATGCTGTGGTAAATAAAGGGAAGGGCTGATTTTTGCCTCCTGAGAGGTGTGACCTAAGGAGACCTACTAACAATTTAAATGAGAGTAGTTTTCCTGTATCTCCCATTACCTCTAGTAGATACCTAAAACTATGGACAGTACCAAAGCCTGTGTATACTGCTTTTTCCTGTATATACATGCATGCATTCATATGAGACAGTTTAATTTATAAACTAGACATAGTAAGATATTAACAATAGGAATCACTAATTAAATTGAAGAATTTTAACACTGTACTATAATAAAAATTATGTGACTGTGGTCTTTCTGCCTCTGTCTCTCATGTATGTGATAGTTAATCTGATAACCAGGGCAGCTACTGAGTGATGGGTAGTGTATATCATATGGATACACTGGACAAAGACACGATTCATATTGCAGACAGGAGGGAGGAAGGTGGTGCAGGATTTTATCATGCTACTCAGAAAGGTACACTGTTTAAAGTTTATGAACTATGAATAGGAAAGATGACTGTAATCCTTGAAGTCATCTCCAGCTGTGTTGCTGCAATAAAACACCATGTGTTTGTAACGTTTCTGTACACTTAGAGGGTTGGCTGCTCAAATCTATATGATAGTCTGGATATATAATCTCCCTTTGAGGAACAGCTTCCAGTTTGATGAAGTTATGTTCTCCCACGTTAATAATCATTGGCACCTCCAGGAAACCATTGTGCTGATCCACTCTGGGTTCTTCCAGGAGTGAGGACTCAGTGAAAACCTCCTCAAAACTACCTGATAAGATAGGAACTAATTTGCTAGTGGCAACCAGTAAATGGTTGATTACCTGCTGTTGTAGTCAGGGGTTGCAAGGAGAACACTTACGTACAGAACACAGAATTTATAATATTATTTTATGATGGTCACCCAGAGTTAAATACAAGAAAGTGCAAGGAATCTGTCCACAACATTAAACACTAAATCCAGCAGAGGGCCTGCATCCCACAGCAATGTCTTGCATGAATCCAGCCGAAGACCTAGAGCCCATGACAGTGCCTCCCATGACTATAACTAGAGGCCTAGAGCCCAAGCAATGACTCATGCAAGTCTGTTTCACAGATCTGCACTGGGAAGGCCCAAAGGTCAGTGGTGGAAGCTAGAAAGTCTATGCCAGGGTGATGGAGCTGTGCTCATAGGTTAAGTGTTCTACACTGGAACCAAGAAGTGACACTCAAAATAAGGACCAGGGATCCCCCAAAAAGTACCACGGCCATTCTCAGCAACAATAATGTCCTAAGCTCCTCTATGATGAGAACAGCTGAGTACATATCAGGAAGCCAGTGTGAGAAACTTCTCCTGGAGATTAAATAACACACATCTTCCCCTCTGGAGCCAGGAAGTGATGCTCAAAGTAAAAACCAGAGCTCCCCCAAAGTGAATAGCAGCCACTCTCAGCAACAAGGTCCCGAGCTCCTCCAATGATAATGGCTGAATTCTTATCAGGGAAGCCAGTATGACAAGCTCCTCTAGGGGAACCAATGGCTCCAAACAGCAACACTTAGGAGAACCCACAGTGCCTCAGTCTGCCTCTTCATGTTTCCTTTTATGCTGGCAACTTTCTTCAGGCGGGCCATTTAAGTCAGAACCATGCTGATTTAATTCATCTGGTGTTAAGTTGACCACCAGCTTTTAATCCATAACACCTGCCAACAATGAGCTGGGAATCTAGACCACAGCAAATGTGACTTGTCTTCAAGCACCATATGCCCACCATGGATGATGAGGGGGTATTTTGTGTTCAGCATCAGTGGACTTTTCTCCTGGGATCAGGATGGATTTATGGGCTCAGAGGGGCTCTCAAGAAGACACATTCCCTCCAGTCTCTATACCAGGACACAGAAAAGGAACTCTGGCTCACCTGGTTTTTTGATACACACAAGTCCCAGCTGAAATTTCTATACTCAGCCCTTCCCTCTGCCATGGAAGCCTCTTTTTCTTTGTCCTTGACAAATACATACAGCTTCTGTGAGCTTCAAGAGAAGAAATCAGGCATCCGGGTATTTCAGAAGGACTGTGCCAGATATGGGACTGAGAGTCTGGAAGAGAAAGTTCAGTAAGACATGCAAACTGAGGAGTGAGGAACTTTTCCATCCCGCTCCTAGAGTCATTACTGCTCCAAGCTCTGCAAAAAAGGTGGGTGTAGACACGGAATCTCAGCAATATTTGACTGGAGAAAGAACTTCATCCTAATTTTTTGCAAGAGCCGCCAGCTCAGCCCAGGCTGTCAGTGGACGCTTTCAGCTCAACACTGCCACCTTCTGGCTCCAGGGCAAACACGAAGACACTCAGCTTTTTCCGTTCGAGCTGGACAGAGGGGCTCCAGGCAAGTGGCCGCTCTAGACTCCTTGCTCAGGAAGATCACGGTTTAATTTTATCTTGTACATCCCACTGTGGTTGCCCCTAGGAAACAATCCCACAAATTCTTTGGATGTTAAAGAACTTTATTGATCAATTTTAACCACATGTCTGGATTCCAGACCCAGGAGCAAACTGCTGCAGTGTGCGCTAAATCTACAGTCCCTTGACAGAGAAAACACCTATTTACATACAAAACACAACAGAGCCTTCTGGGAAATTGCTGGCCTATACCAAACAACACAAAGAGCCATTCTGAAGAATCCCCGTATTCAGCTGGTGAACCCCAGCCCTCACTCACTATCCTCTCTGCCCTCCCTGCCCCCCCTCTTCCTGCTCCTGTGTGGGTTTTAAGAAATAACCTGCATACTCTACGGATGACACAAGCATCTTTTCCAAGTGCCCTGCCCAGAGATACCTTTGTTTGGTCCTGTTGGGGTTAGTTGTCAGAAATGGGACCAGCCACTGGGAGCACAAAGCTGCCTCTGGCTTTTCAAGGGGCCTGTCCCCATCTAAGGCTTTCCCATTAGCCCAGCATGTCCACAAGAGCTTCCTACAGTGCTGCAAGGGCTGTCATCCATAGATCCGAACAAGATCAGCATTCCTTCAGGAATTTCCCAGAATGAGCTCCTGAGGCTGGGAAGCCCAGTGTCTGGTTGCTCTCCTTTGGACATAGCATAGGACAGAACCAGTTCCTGAAAAGGTGCAAGGGCAGCCCCTATAAAAGGAGAGGTAAAGTGCAATCCTGAGCTCCTACCCCAGTGCCAGGGCCCATCTGATTCACAGTGGAGATTCCACAGAGCCTTAGGGACACCCAAAGCTAAGCTCATGCCTCTCCTTCTCAAGGGCGGCTTTCCCTGTAGTAGCTCCAGGGGAAAGAGCAGTTGGAGTCCCCTGGCTTGCAGTCTTCACACTAGGACTAATTATGGCACTAAAGGTAAGGACAACCACTGTGTCCCTTTCTCCCTTTTCAAACCAGGCTCCTCTGAGGCCAGTACCGACCTCCAAGTCCTCACACCGATGCCCAGGATGGACAGAGACCTCCTCTCACCATCGGGTGACCCGGACTGCAGGGAGCCCTCTCTAAAGCATGCTGGTCTCAGTGGTGGCTTCACCCTCTTCCTGTTCTAAGTCCTTCAGTGATCCTGCAGGCCCTGGCTTCCCGCCCAGGCTGAGACTGAGGCTGAAATTGGGTGGGCAGCTGGAGCGGGTCAGCAGTGTGGTGCGGCGGCTGGACAGACTGCCATTGGAGAGCTCTCTGTGCAGCCGGGGCCGGGCCCTTCTGCAGCAGGCCAGCTGATGCAAGGACCATGGCAACAGGTGGCTGTTGAACCCCATGTAGATCCAGGGGTTACAGCAGCTGCTGAGGTTGCCCAGAAGCATGGTGATGGTGAAAGCCACGTTGGTGGAATCTGCAAGAGAGAAGCATAGGAAATCAGAGGATGACAGTGAGCAGGGACCCAGGAGAGAGGCCAGCCCTCACAGACAAATGAGGATGTTGAGTGCCAGAGAAGCAAAGGCTTCACTTACAACCGGAAAGGACTACAGCTGTGGCATAAACCTGGGACCCTAACTCTCGAGTTTCACCTTACTGATTTTTTGGTTTGTTTTTATTTTGTAACTCTGAGGGGAGGGGAGGAGCTGAAATTTGTTCCGGTTGAATTTAGCTTACATGTTTCTGGGGCCAGAACCAGCCACATGGGAGAAAGTGGTTTTCTTCTAGAACTGAGACCATGGATCCCCTGGTGGGTATAGACCTAGGTGACACATACCTATAAAACACTCTGACAAAGTAACCAAGGTCAGGTCTCTTCTACCCCTGTCCCCATCAATGTAATGGACCATGTCTTCACATTGCCTTCTGGGTTGTGTCCTCCCCCATCTTTGGGGCAATCCCACTCATTTTGTTACTCAGTCATTGAACATGTGTGAGCACTGGAACTGGAGACCCACACTAGGGACCTAGCAGAGTAATCAGTGGAGCATGACTGCTCTTGCAGGTGTCTACACTGTCATCTCTAATTGTGAAGCAGAGACGGATTCTTGGGACAGGACAGCTGAATGTCTCATTCCAGGCCAGCACTATCCTGTGTTTTCAGGCATGAAATGCACTTGTTGTAGGGAAAAACAAATTTCTCTCTTGTGCAGTCAGAACTCTGATAAGATTCCTTCCAGAAGCAATGAAGTGAAACCCCTCATGTCAACAGGGAAGCTGCTGGGGTGGGCCCCAGCCACCTGCTGCATCACCCTGGTTACAGCTACAGCTCAGTGGCTTGCTGAGTTCATGTGCTCTTCAGAGAGGGCTGCAGGATCATGGAAAGCAATGGCAGAGTGGAGGGAGCTGTGCAACAGCCCCATTACTGTCTCCCTGCCTCTCTCTCTCCTATGGGCACAATGCGTCTGCCTACATTAACCATAATCCCCTCCTGCTTATGTCACATACCCGGATGTGATGATGACCCTGTTGTATTCATCCCCATAGCCTCTTCCTGTCCCACCAGCCCGCCCTTGGTCTATAAAAGATGTAATCACTTCTGGAATAAAACGGAGCTTGATTGGATTCTCTCTCGACTTGCTTCTGTCTCTCTTTGTCTCCCCTATGTCTTTATTTAATCCCTGTTCCTCCTCCAGGTACACCCCACAGATTGATCTGCAGGCCGGATCAAGTGGCGCCCAATGTGGAGCTCCTGGCATGGAGGAGTCAACGAGGGAGCCATTCGAGACAGCCTGCTTAAAGTGAAAGCGAATTGAACCAGAGACCACGGTGAGAAGTGAGCAAACTAAATCAAGGATCAAAGCTAAAAGCAACAGGACATTAAATCAAGTACCGAGGCCTGCGCAGATGACTACCTGACGTGCCTGCCCGAGTCATGGTGAGTGAATGGCGACCCCATTCCCTTTCCCGGACATGGGTCAAGCATTGAGCAAACACAAATTGTTTGTGGGAGGCCTTATAAAAGCATGGAAGACAAGAGGGGTAAAGGTTAAAACTAAAGAATTATTGCAGTATTTTCAATTTATCCATAAGGTTTGCCCTTGAGGGTTCTATAGATTCCAAGAGGTGGAAAAGAGTAAGAGATGCTTTAAAAGATTATTATAGGGTTTTCGTCCCAAAAAAAGGTTCTGGTGACCACCTTTGCATATTGGAATTTAATCTCTGAGCTGCTTGCCCAGCGGCATGCAGATCCTCAGATTGAGGAGACAGTCACACAAGGCCCTCCGAGCTGCACAGCCTTATAGTGCCCCTAAGATGGTGCCTGCCTCCGGCAAGCCTCGTGGCGCTCTTAAAATGGCACTTGCCTCACTTCTGCCACATCAGCGTGGGTCCCTCCCCGAAATGGCGTTTCCGGTGACAGAAACAAATGTACCTCCCCAAGATGGCACCGCACAGCCGCAAGATGGTGTGAACACCACGCCGCTAGCTCCACAAGTCATTAGGACACATACGCCGTTCACAGTGGCTGCTTTAAAAGAATTAAAGGCAGCGATTGCCCAATATGGCCTTACAGCTGCTTTCATTCTTGCTGTTTTAAATTCTCTGGCTGATGGCTGGCTCACACCTACAGATTGGCAAAGATTGGCCTGAGTGACTTTATCGGGTGGGGATAATCTTTTGTAAAAATCAGAATATACAAAAAATTGCAAAGAGACTGCCAGACACAATATACAGGCTGGCAATAGGTGGGACCTTCATATGTTAATAGTGGAAGATGCCTATGCATGCAGAAAGGCTCAAAAAGAGTTTAGTCCAACACTTTTCACTCAAATTCAAACAGCAGCTACTCGAGCATGGCGAAAGCTGCCTGCAAAAGATAATATGAGCTCCTCTCTCACTAGCATTACGCAAGGCCCAGATAAACCCTTTTCAGAGTTTGTTGATTGTTTGATTGCTGCTGCTAGCGGAGTCTTTGGCCGTGCTGATGTAGGCACTAATTTTGTTGAACAGCTGGTTTTTAAAGGTGCCGGCACCGTCTACCGGGCCGCTATCAGACCTCGTAAAAATAGAACAGGCCTAACAAGATATATACACCTTTGCTGTCACTGCTGCCTTGCAGAGGTTTGCAGTTGGACAGTTGTTATCTCAAAAGCATAAACAAAACTGTTTTACCTGTAGAGAGACTGGTCATTTTACAAAAAGACTCCAGAGATAAAGATTCCAATGTCAATTACTTTGACTTATTTAACTGATCGGAGTGATATCTGTCTAGTCTCTTAAGTTTAATTTCAGCATATGAAAGGAGGGGACAGCTGTTGAAAGGAGAATGAGAGACACTATGGTAGTTATTATTGTCTTCCCCAATGTCAGATCTTAAGGACTGAGGAGCCTTCATCATCCTGTGGTGATCTGATTAGTTCTATAATATGCAGTGTGTATTTAATGTGCATGAAGATGGGGACAACTGTTTGGAGGAAAATAGAGACAATTAAGTAAACAGTAAAGATCTCCAGTGGACTTGCTTTAAAATCTGTATTTCTTTAAATCTTTTTTTAAAAACTGTTTTGTTCTCTTTTGATATGTTTGGTCTTGCCCTCTTTGAGATAAAAAACAAGTGTATAGGACTGATAACCATATTACTAAGTTTTTGTTGGATCATTGAGCAGAACTGTTGGCAATGTCACTGTTTGTCACTTTGCATGCTTTAATTTTGTAACCTGAACAGCTATTTCTAAGATGACAATATGTAACTTATCAACTAGTGATTTCTTACCATTTATTTTTCTGTAATTCTGTATTAAGATTACTAGAAAACAAGCCAGGCAGATAATAAAAAATTGCCTTTCTTGTGCCGTGCACCTCCCAGTTCCGTACTTTGGGGTTGGTCCTAGAGGACTTATCCTCAATGCATTATGGCAAATGGATGTCACCCACATTCCTGAGTTTGGCGATCTTAAATATGTTCATTTAACTATAAATATCTTTAGTGGTTTCATTTATACCTCTCCCCAGACTGGCAAACCTACCAAACATTATTAGCCATATGTTAACTACCTTATCAGTTCTGAGATGCCCACAACAATTAAAGACTGATAATGGTCCAGGCTATGCTAGTTCTGCCTTTGCTCGTCTCTTTCAACATCTTAATATTGATCATCTAAAAGACATACCTTATAACCCTCAAGGTCAAGGCATAGTTAAAAGGGCACATCTCTCCCTAAAACTCACTGTTGATAAGATAAAAAAGGGGGGAATGGTACTCCACAAAGAGGACACCTAAAAATATTCTATCTCATGCCTTATTCATCCTTAAATTTTTAAATTTGGATGCTTCTGGACAATCAGCAGCCATGTGTTTTTGGCATTCTGAAACACAAAAGCAATTTGCTTCTGTACCATGGCGAGATCCCCTGACTAATTCATGGCATGGCCCTGACCCCGTTCTCATATGGGGACAAGGCTCAGTATGTGTTTACTCTCAACAAGATAGAGAGACTAGATTGCTACCTGAGCACCTTGTAAAACAAATAGACAGTTCTTCAAAGACCCCATGCCACGCCCAGGAATAATGTCATTTCCTGAGGCACAATCCCCTGTGTTCTCTTACAGGTGACACAACTCCCCGGAGCTCTATGCTGCCTACTCAGCCTTCTCCTTGGACCGTACCACACCCCTGGTGGATTTCAACCCCTGCCAAACAGACTACAACTGCTGACAGCCATGCACACAGCCCCCTGTGACTGCAGAGGAGGCTCTTCTCAGTCTGGAGGAACATAAACCAGCCAAATAGACTGCGTCCAGTGTTATGCGAGACAGGCTCCAAGAAATAGAAGAACGACTTCAACAATGACAACAACAAATGGCTGCCAACCCCTTCTCCTCGATGTGTGTGAGGGGGGGAGCTTTTCTCTTACCTAACGCCCCTTTTGGGTCCCCTAGCTGCCCTATTGCTTCTCCTTTCTGTGAGTCCTTGTATTTTTCAGAAGATTATGATGCTCATTAATAACCGGATAGACGTGTTTATGGCAAAGCCCATTCAGGTACACTGTCATCAGCTGGAGATGGCAGATCAACAAACCTACCGGGAAGGAATTCCCACAAATGGTCCATATGACAGTGCGGCCTAACTGCCCTGGGGCAATGGACAGGCAGTCAGAGACGGCAACTAGGACATGCATGTTAATTCCATCGGCCACCTAAGACAGACACAGGACCAACTGCTGTCCTGCAAGCCCATGACGGGTAAGGCTTGGTTGGGTTCATGTAATGAGGTCCTTGACCTAAGACAGATGTTGTCCTCACAGGGCCTGCCATACTCCTGATTAAATAATATAGAAAGGGAGGATATGTAGGGAGCCACGCGACAGCCCCATTGCTGCCTCCCTGCCTCTCTTTCTTTCCTATGGCAGGGCACAATGCGTCTGCCTACACTAACCATAATCCCCTCCTGCTTACGTCACATACCTGGATGTGACAATGACCCTGTTGTATTCATCCCCATAGCCTCTTCCTGTCCCACCAGCCCGCCCTTGGCCTATAAAAGATGTAGTCACTTCTGGAATAAAACGGGGCTTGATCGGATTCTCTCTCGACTTGCTTCCGTCTCTCTTTGTCTCCTCTATGTCTTTATTTAATCCCTGTTCCTCCTTCAGGTACACCCCATGGATTGATCCGCAGGCCGGATCAGCAGAGCTCAAAGGAAGCTTAGGGGTAAACCTCCTGGAGGTTACAGCATACTGAGCAAGAACTGCCTTTTGAATCCAGGTCTTCCAGCTGTAAGACAGAGGTCCTCTAGAGAGCTCTAACTGGCGAAGTCAAACACACAGCCTGTGTGCCCATGCCATAGAGCACCACTGAAGCTTCAGGTAAACCACTTCTCGTGAGCATCCCCCAAGAGAAGGAAAGACAAGGGTAAGAGGCATGAGTCACAGGGTGGGAAGGTGAAGGCACCTGGGATGGATGAACAAGACCCTTGGCTTAGGAAGCATCCATTTGGTTTGGCCTTCTGATCCAGGACTAGTGCAGAGGCTGGAGAAGGCCATGAGGAAGCAGCAGCATCCACGGGTGCTCCACCTGTCAGCCCAGAGGGATGCTCTGGTGCACCCAGTCCAGGCAGAAGCTCAGCAGACAGTGGGCTCAGGGATGGGGCAAGGGCACAGACTCCGACACAAACCAGAGACCTGGAGCCAAGAGACCAGGGGCCAGCATGCTGTAGCAGAGAGCTTAGTATACCTAAAAGCAAGTTTAAAGTAATGAATTTCAGCTTATCACTCTTATCTTTCTGAGACCACCGTCTGTAGATTATGCTTTGTTCTTGTGATCCTTGCTCAGAGATGCTGTTGGCAAGTGGCAAATCATGATGCGGGTGAGGCACTAGGGACCAGCTTTGTGGGTGCTGCAGGCAAGCAGCAAAGCCCATACAGCTGACCATCAAGATCCTTATCTCTTTGTGGGTTCCTTGATACAGGGGTGAAGGGCCCCCCAACCCCTGGTGCCACTGATTAAACGGTGACTGTTGGGAATAAAGCTATGGTGTGGATAAGGCTTGGTCCATAAAGACCTCAATTCAAATCCTGACCCCCTCTCCAACTAACAGTGGCATTTTGGACCAGTTGTTTTACCTCTCTGAGCCTTGCATACTCAGCTGTACAATAGAGAAGGTCACCTCCCGGAAGCATGAGGACTCAAGGTGCTTGGCACTGGGAGATCCCATGTGCGGAGACTGTACGTACTTCACTGGATTTAGAACACTCATTGCTTACAAAATACTTTGCAAATAACCCCTTTCCAAGTTGATGTCCAAAGAGTGGTTAAGAAGGGACCATTCTAGTTTGGCATTAGTTTTCATTTTTCCTGAAATAAACCTTTCATCTTTCCAGGAAAGCAAAATGTTTGGCTCGAGTGTGTTGTGGGATGAACAAAATGATTTAAGAACAAAAACACAAAGAGAGGCAACAACTTCCTACAGGCTGGTGGGAATTGGTAGCTTCACCCTGCTGGGCAGTGAGCTCTCAGGACGCTTCCAGGCAGGAGTGCTGGCAGACCTGCACAAGGGGGTTGTATGCTACACACACTCCATGCACAGGTGTCCTGAGCTGTACACACCATGAGGTGCAGGGCAGGTTAGGTACTCCTAGTCACAGCCACCTGGCGACACAGGTCCTTGTCCACTTGTCCTCATGCTCCACTCCTGTTTGTGGGGAACAGGAACCGATGCAACATGTAGGCTGCCCAAACACAAACCTGAGCCTTCCTGAGAGCAAGGTCACCTCGAATGGCCCAACTACCAGCAGTGTCTGAGGTTCAGCAGGCTGCTGGGCACCTCACCCACCCCCACCACCAACATGCAAGGCCTCCCACATGCCAACCAGGCCACAGTCTTCTAGGAGGCTCCCATTTTGTTGATCGTGTAGGAGGGAGGCCCCTCTCCTTGGAGAGGCACTTTTAGAACCAGGGGTCTGGGCACGACATGAGTTTGAGGAAAAACAAAACAAAACAAAACAGAGAGATAGGAGACGGGGCTCTAATCTTCATTTCGCCATACCCAGGTGTGTGGTCCTGGGCAAGCCTCTCTGAGCCTGTTCCTCACTCATATAACGAAGGGGCTGAGGCAGACTGATTGGTAGTGAGTGACTGTTGAGAAGGAGCTCAAAGTCACATGCTGGTATAGGAGAGAAGAGTGCCATGAGAGTCAGTTCCTGGGCCAGGTCATTTGAAAATTCCTCCTAGGTTCTAGCATTGTTTGATTCCAAAGGCCTTCTAACAAACTGAAAGATGCTTGGGCAAACCTGCCACTGTGCTAATGTCACACAGTGTTTTAAAACTGTTAAGCAGGTTGTCAAAAGTGGAAATTCAGGAAATTTTGCATAAAGATACCTAACACTGGTAAGCTTAGATGAAAGTTGTAATTCCTTTTGCACACAGGACAGTGCCATGGTTTGAACATCTGTCCCCCAGAATTAATATGTTGGAAATGTAAACCTTAAAGTCATAATGAGACTTGCAGGTGGGACCTCTGGGAATGACTAAGTCATGAGGACTGTGCCCTCCTGAAAGGATTAATCCACGGGGAAATGAGTTTTGCTATGAAAGCAAATCTGGCCATCTCTCAGGATTCGCTCCATTGTGAGATGCACGGCACCACCTTGAGACTCTGCAGAGAGCCCCAGCCAGCAAGAAGACCCTCACCAGCTCTAGCCCCTTTGACCTTGGATTTCCCAGCCTCCAGAACAACAAGAAATGTTTTTCTTTGTAAGTTACTCAATCTCAGATATTCTGTTATAGCAACAGAAAACAAATTAAGACAATCACCAATTTTCTTAATTGCTTCACTCGTTTGTCACCTATCTAACCATGGCAGGCAGTGTAGCCCCCTGCAAACCTGACTTCTCTTCCCTGGACTTTTTCACCTCATCATCCCCACATAGGCCACATACTTGCCTTCATCCGGGGCATTCTCATCCCACACAGACCACATCTGGACACTAAAGAAGGGTGCCCAGCAAGCGATGTAGGTCAGCACAATGACAAAAGTCATCTTCACGGTTCGGATCTTGGCCCGAGAGATGGTGCTGATGCTGCTGACATGGGATGGCAGCCCCTGAGTAGCTGCAGCTGGGGCAGAAGGTAAGAGCTTGTCCCAAGTCCTCCAATCACTTCTTTCTACTCTCCTGGCCTTTGTCTTGACTTTCAGGTTTTTACAGATCTCATGGCAGATAAGGCTGTAGAAAGCTGTGAGTGTGGCCACAGGCAGGACAAACATGGCCATGGTAGTCCAGGTGATGTAGGCCTGTGGCCCCCAGGGAAAGCGGAAGTCAGCCCAGCAGTCGAGCACCCCCGAGCCCTGGATCACTTCCTGCAAGGAAAAAATGAAGACCTGAGGAAGGCTGAGGACGGCAGCCAGCAGCCACGGAGCAGCGATGAGCAGGTAGGTAGACTGGCTGGGCTGCTGGAGGTTGCGCAGGGGGTGGCAGACGGCCAAGTATCGGTCCAGGGTCATGGCCAGGAGCATGTAGGTGGAGGCAAACATGCTGAGCACTTGCAAGTATTTGATGGCCCGGCAGAGGAGGTCAGGGCCCTGGAAACGGTAGGTGATGTCCCAGAGCAGCTGAGGTAGCACCTGGAAGAGCGCCACACCCAGGTCAGTCAGTGCCAGGTGCAGCATGAACAGGTGCATGCGTGAGCGCTTTCTGCCCAGCAGGCCCAGGATCAGCAGCATGGCCAGGTTGCCCCCTGAGGCCAGCACCAGAACAGTGGCCAGTATGCCAATTTCCACTTTGGCCAGCTCTTCATCCCGGCCGAGCCAGGGTGTGGTGGCATTGAGGGCAGAGAAGGTGCCCTGTGGGCTAGGGATGGCAGCCCAAGAAGGCTCAGAATCCATGGTCAAGGTTTGCTCAGAGGGAAGGAGAGAAAGAAGAATAGAGGGAGGATGTGGATGCAAGTGCAGGGTTTGATGGATAAAATGGTGTGACGAAAGAAAGGCCCTATGTGGACAGAAAGCTGACCATGAGAGAAAAAAGCTTGAAAACAGGTGGAAACTGTTTTCTTCTGGAAAGGGACAGAGATGAGAGGAGACAATGAGACAAGGAGGAAGAAAATGGAGCTGAGATTCCAAATTCTAGGGAGGACAGAGGAGCAAGCCTAGGAGAGAAGAGGAGAGCCCAAAGGGACAGGGTGTCAGAGGACACTTGTACAGTGCACCGCTTCTAGAAGCCAGAAAGCTAGGATAACTGCCCCTTCTTCCAAAACCACCCCAAATTCACTTCCTCTCAACTTTTCGGGGAGAGCAGAGTTCCTGGAGCCTGCTTGAAAGCGCAGCCCAGAGACATCGGTGTCGCCCTCAGGACAGGAGCCCCAGCCAAGCCGCTCGGGCGCTGTCACTGGCAAGGATTTTATGCGCTTCCAGCTGGAGGCTAGCGGGCCTGGCTCGCGGTTGGTTCCCTCAGAGGAGAGCTGGGTGGGGCTCGGAGGGACAGCAGAGGCGGCAGACCGGCGACCGAGAGCCGGACAAGCCAGCCGGACAAGTCAGCAAGCGCTCGCCAGCAGGGGGACCCCCGATGCGACCCGGACCCCCTCGTCTCCGGGTAGTTCTTGGACCGAGCTCTGCAGACAGGTGCACACCTGGGGACGTGGAAAAGGGGCTCCGCTTCGCCCCTGTACGGGTCGCTACTTTGGCTGCCCCGGGCTACCTTGTGGCCAGCGATGGATCCGTAGTCTTCGAAGTGGCCAAGCGGGCAGCGGCGCCGCCTGGGGTGCGGACCACTGTACGCTGGGGGACTTGGAGCTCCAGGGGGCTGGGAAGTGAGGACCCTGGTGCGGGAGCGGCGGGCGGCAGGAACCGGGAGCCCTGGTGTGCTGGAACCGGGAGGGGACCGCAGGTTTTCTGGAAAGGGTGCGCGGCAGAGGCGGGGCGCAGAGGGCTCGCCAGGGGTGACCGTTGCGCGGCGCAGCCTGCGCTCCCTCCAGCTGCGGCACCCGCGCAGGAGGAGGGTGTGCTGAAAACAGCCCGGGGTGGCTGGTGTTCTGTGCCAGTCACACGCACAAAGTGGGTGGCTGAACTCGCCAGCGCAGGTTACAGGTTCTTTAGAGCTGGCGATAGCGTAGTCCGAGACCTTCGGGAAAAACCGGTGTGCGATGTGAGGAGGTTCTTTAGTCCTGCCTGTACTCAAAACCATTCGGTGCCTCTGCGGTGCCCCCACCACACAAACAAACCTCCTGGCTTCTTGAAGGTGCTGCTTCCTATGCACTCCACACCGCCCTTTCTCCTGCGCCCGAGGGCCAGAGCTCCTGTCTGAGGATGTGGTGCCTCCCTCCCTCCCTCTCTCCTGCCCTTCCCTCTCTTCTTCCTCTCCCTCTTCTTGTCTTCCTCCTTCTCCCCCCCCCCCCCCGTCTTTCTGAGTCACGGTCTCACTGTGTGGCCCAGCCTGGCCGTCACCTCCTGACCGGTCTCACCTCTGTCATGCCTGAGTTCCAGACGTGCACCGCCACACCCAGCGAGGATTTTGCTCTTTCCCAGTGATGATCTTCACTCTGCGCCCGATCATGCCTACATTTATGCAAACACGTTCTACTACTACTAAAAAAGACTTCTCACCTTCCTGAGACCCTCCCTCCAGCTGCTGAGTCCCTTCCCCTCCTTAGCAAAACTTCTCAGCATTGCTGGCTACGCTCGTCTCCATTTTCTTGCCCCTGATTACTCATTTCTGTGTGCCTATGTTTAACACTTTGTAGAGATGCGTGCTTTTAAAATACATAAATGACGTCATTCCACTTGTTTGTTTGTCTGTTTTGTTTTTGATACTGGGGATCGAACTCATAACCTCGTACTTACCAGGCAACCGCCTGTGCCACCAAGCTAAATCTCCGGCCCTGTGGAACTTGCTTTTTAAATTCTATGTTATTTTTGAAAATAAAATTGTATACATATATTTAAAATAAACATTCTGTGTTTTTTCGGCTGTATATATGCAAATACATAGAAGAGCCCTCATTCATTTTTAACTGCTGCATAATATTCAAGCATGTGTATGTAGGATATCTTATTTATCCAGAACTAGGCTATTTGCAGGTTTTTGTCCACTATTTATTTATTATTTTATATGAATATATTTCTTTTTTATTTTTTGGTCAACATAATAATTGCACAGCTTAGAGATACAATATGATGTTTCAATTTGTGTACACAATTTTTTTATTTTAAAGAGAATAAAAAAGAAAAGTGACACAAAATTTCAAAACAAGATAGCAACTTAAGAATGGTTATTACATTACATTTTGTTATCTTCAAAACAGTTGCTCAGATTATCAAATATAGGGGTGTAAAATTGATCAAACAATATAAGCACTAACTGTTCCTTCCAAAGAACTAATAGAATTAGCAATACAATTATTTTAGCTATCTTGTATGTGTGTGTGTGTGTGTGTGTGTGTGTGTGTGTGTATTTCCCCCCTTTCGTCTTTTCTCCTTTCCCAACTCCGGGTTGTTCTTTCCTTTGAGCAGTTTCTTTCCCTTTCACATTGTCTGTTGTACCTTTGGATCTTATTTACTCTTTCAGTTTCTTACACTAAGGAGACAATAAGATGTTTACACATGTGGGTCTGATTTATTTTACTGATGAGTATGGCCTCTAGTTGCGTCCTTGAATGCCTTTGAACATAACCCTGTATTTATGTGTCAGAATTTTAGCTGAAGGATGTAGCAAGAAGTATGTATATACTGCTAAGCATTGTCGGGTCCTACAGAGTGTGAATTTTCAGCTAGATAGGCCATATCCTACATTCTTATCTCTAAATTAACTTCACACACTTTAATTTCCCAACATTTTCATAGTGATACTTTTAAATTTTTACCAATCTGTTAGATGTGAACTAGCATCTCATTTTGGTCCTCTAGTTTTCTGATTATAAATTAGTTTGAGTATTTTTCATTTCCTCGATGAGATCTCCTCCTGTATGAATTATTCCTAGCTTCTGTACAACTTTTCATTAGCTTACTGTTCTTTTCAAATTGTGGAGCCTCTCTGTATATTCTGATATGAATCTTCTATGTATAATCTCATGTTTTGCAGAGATCTTCTTTAGTAGGCTGCTGCTTATCTTTTACCTTTGTATGAGATCATTCATTATTCAGAAAACTTTGATTATGATGTAATCAGTACTTTGTCTTACCAGTTTTGTTTCTCCTGTTCTCTACCCTCTATTTTCTTCTAACAGATTTAACTTCTATTTTTCATGCTTAGGTCTCCAATTCATCTGGAATTTATTTTTGCGAATATGTGAAATAATTATCAACTGCATTTTTCTCCCACATGGGAAAACAATCACTCTATTTATTGACTAGTCCACTGTTACCCAACTGCTACCTGCACAGTGTAGAAAGTTTCAAAATTTGTAGAGACTTTTTCTGGGATCTATTATGTTTCACTGATTTATTTTTGTATCCTTGACCCAAGATTTCACTATTTTAGGCACCACAGTATAAGCATGAAACTTAATATACGGTAAAAACAAAACAAACAAAAAACTAAGCCTCTTCTTTGTTCTTTTCCAAATGTTTCTCAAAATTTTGAAACTACAAGTTTTTGTATCAGTTTGACTAGTCTACAAAGAGTTCTGTTGAGTTTTTAGTTAGAAACATTGAATTTAGAGGTTACAGAAAATAAAAATTCATAATTTTATTTAGGCCTCTTATTATATCCTACATTTTGTAAGTTCCTTCATAAATATCATCCCACCTTGTGATGAAGTGTTTCTGATGTACTGACAGTGTCTTTTAATTTTGGTCTCTCATGCTTTCTAATACTAATTGATCATTGTCCACATGTGGGGAAAAATACATTTTTGCACCTTGGTACTTTTCTGCAGTTTGTAATTTATTTTTGATTACTTCTACATACAATATTGTCTGAAAACAATAATTTTTGACCTTTTGTTCACAATTTATTTGGCTCTTATTTCTTTTCCTTGTCTTATTGAAAAGCCTAAGGCTGGCTCTAGCACAATGTCAAGAGCAGGAATCATTGATGTTTCAAAGTTTGATGATAATGTATCTGAAGTTTCAGCATTAAGTACCATGTATATGGTAGGTCTTCACTTTTCAATCTTTGAAACAGACTTTCTTTTCATATGCGTATGTTACAGTCAAATGATTCTATAGTAGTTGTTATGAAAAAGTAATCTCTCCTTACACCTTCATTTTCCGTCTCCCTAGAGGTAATCATTTTCTGTAGAGAGGCCACACTGACTCCATTTTGTCCTGGACACATCTGTTTGACAGTATCTTGGTAGAAGGTGCAGGCCTTGAAATATTCCCCCTGTGATAAAAACATGAGGTCCCATAAGGACAAGTTACATAATCTAAGCATATGCAATATGAGGTTTTTGTTCTTTATCTCAGTAAAAGTGGTTTGCTTAAGCTGGCCGGGCAGCAGCCATTTTGCCGACCCTTGGTGTGTGTCCCTTTATTTTCCTTTTGCCTGCAGACTCCCTAAATATGGTGCCTGAACAGGGGACTCGACAGTGGAGACATCTGCTGTGGAGGGTGACTTGCCCTCACTATGTTCCTGGAGGGGAACAAGGTCCCCAGCGTGCATCTACTTCATTTTCTGTGAAAAATCCCTGGGTAAGTCATGGGGAATTAATTTCCTGTCTGAAACACAACAGAAACGTCAGACAGAACTGCTTTTTCTCCTTAAGAAGGTGAGCCAGATTGCCCCCAAGCGTAATTTAGTACAACTTTTGCGAAAACTTCATGATTATTGGCCTTGGTACCCTGAGGGAGGAATACTCATTATGGAGGATTGGGAAAAGATAGGAAACTGCTGCATGCGAAGCCTCAAGCCTTTCCTTATGTCTGTTCTGCACACGGTGCATCTCTGCCGGGATGCTGCTGCCACCTTTGGCCAGCGAACAGGCGGAACACCGCATGGCTGCCTTCCAGGTCCTCCCGGGTGTGCTGCTTCTGCTGTCCCTGCCTTAATGGGCAAGGCCCTATTTTCCTTGGACCACTCTATTCCATGCTTTACCAGGTCACACAGATCCTGCTGATGTGATCTCTGCCTCTCCTTCCCTACAGCAGGCCCTTCACAGCCTTGCTCACACACTCCCCACAGTTATGGGGGATCGAATCCCGAAGGACTGCCCTCTCTCCTTCCTTCCCTTTGTTGCCATCCAGAGCAGCAAGATATTTATTGTTGAATGGTTACCTTTACCCCACTCACCTGCCACTACTTTATTTCCCGTTACCAATGCTATTTCCTCTCTTATCTCTCAGAGACGTACTTGGTACACTCACACTCCTTGGGATTGATCTTATTGATATTGTTTTATCACTTACCAAAGCTGACTTCTCCTTTCTGCTGTCCCATGCTGTTTCTCTTCAAGTCTTTTTGGCTGACTATAAATGCCCCCAGACCCAGGCTGGGATGGGGTGGTGTCAGGCCCTGCTGACCTGGGGAGGAGGGGATGCTTCTGTGTTATCCCCAACAGGCCCTGTGTGGATTACTGCTCACCGTGTTCATCCTGCACAAAAAAAATTAGTACCATGGACTGCACAACACAATGCCACAATTTGTCTTTCCCTGACTCATGCCTGGCCACCTGGGAAGCAATCCAGGATGACGATTGCTTAGCCAGTGACCTGGGGTGATATAAAGGCACTGATCCAGTTTGCACAAGATTTGTTCTGTGCATCTGAAGAGGAACCCACTGCTGAAGATTTTGTGGTGGTGTTTACCAAAATGACAATGAACTCTTTAATGCCTATTTTATATTCTGTTTCTATGTTTTGCAGCCCACCATGGGGACCTTAGAGTCTCACGACCTCAAGGAAAGACTGGAATATAATATTTGGGTTCAGTTGGCAAAAATAGCTAATGTCTCTCATTTCTGTCTTGTTCAAAAGATAGAAATGAAATATATTCTGGGGTCCTGTTTGATTCTGGTATGCAAGGACCCTGCTTCTCAAAGTAGTGACACCATTTTCTCCACTATTCCAAACAAAATTGTAACATGTGCTGACTTTCCAAACTGGGGCGCTCCCACTGTTAAAATATCTGATAATGCTGTTAAAATGTTCACTCCATATGTAGCAACTTTCAAATGCCTCATGTGCTCTTATTGAAAATTACACCACTCGATGTCTTTGCCTTCCTAATAGTACTTGGAATCGTTCTAGTTATGATCCAGTATTGTATGGAAATA